GATAGAATGATGCACAAATCCTCACAATGGAAGAATGATGGTAAAGATGATAAATTGGCAGAGATTGGCAAAATTGACTGTTTTAATTATATCGAGGATTTCTTTTTTTTCTATTGGGAAACTACTTCTGGATTTGTCTATGAAGATTTTCAACCATCCAGGTTATGGATGTCCCAAAGGTGCTTTTCAAAAGACAACTGGACTTTCCTTTCCTTGAAAATATTTCACTTGTCATCCAAGAAGCTTCTTCAGTTCTGACTGAATAGGACTCCATTCAGTCAGAACTCCATCAGTCAGAACTGAAGAAGATTCTTGGATGAGTTGAATTCTGTACCATTAAAATGAGCAAGAATTTCCATAGAAGATGAGAATTGGTATACAAAGAATGTGTGGCTTCAAACAGAGTAGAAATATATTTATTAAGAGAAAAAATATTCAGAGAAGCTATATATTTTTTCCATTCGAAGTATATTTTTGAAGAACAAGTTGAGTGCCAATAAAGGAGAATGTTTATAGCTCAAGGTTGAACTTTGGTGTCCTTGGTGCTCTCGGAGCTTGTTTCTTTTCTTGCAGGTGTTTCACTACCCAAACTAAGTCTAGGAAGTAGAGGAGTTTGCTCTCAATTTATATTCTCATGACTTGGCCTGTAGGTGTTGGTGGGAGTAGTCTTGATGGTTTGTTGGTTGAGCTGCTTATTGTTAGCTTGTTTGGCAATTCCTTGATTGGAAGCCTGACATTCTGACCATTTGGTTATCAATGAACAAATAGACATAAACATCAAAAGAGCAAAACAGACAACCGACAAGCCAAAAACAGAACAGGAAAACCAAACACCCCCACCAGCAGTCAACACCCAGATGAGCATAGATTAATACCAAGATTAACATCAGATCATAATCAAGAAGAATCAACACTCCCATCAAGGAACTGCTAAACTAGCTAATAGCCCAACCAAAGAACTACCAGGACCATTGCTACCACCACTGACAGGCTAAGTTACTAGAATATAAATTGAGAGCAAATCCTACTAGTACTGATGATGTTATCTAGTTTGGGCAAGGAAAGATCTGAAAGAAAACAACCAAGCTCAGAGAGCACCCATCAAAAAGTTGAATATTTACATTATGAGAGCTCTTGCTGCTTAAAACAAATTTCCCCCAATCATCATTCTGCATTCATTTCTAGCAGGTAGCAAGCCAATTTTTGTACTCAATGTCAAGCACACTTTCCTTTTGCATTCTTTGGCTGCATTCAGTGGAAACCATTTATTTAAAAAACTTACTGCACAGCAAGAAAAATAATTAATATTAATGTAAGCTGTGTGCATTGGTGTTTTCTTTTAATTAAAAAAAGCAAAATGGAAACAGGATGGTGCAGTACTAGAGCCATAAGGCAAAGCTCCCCTCTTCCATTTTATGTGAGGCTGACTAAAAATTGAATTACTACTGCTACCATGGCAACCATTCAATCATTTCACAATTCTGCTGGTTTAAACACACACACACACACACACATACACACACCTTCCATACAGAGAAATTCATGAGCTAACATGGTATACTCCACAATTGCACTTTTTTATATAACATTCCAAAGAGAAACATGTACCAGAATAAATCAATAGCTGTTTCTGCACTTCAGAACCTATTTGTAACTTTTTATCACCTCCAATCCCCTGTCATTTTCTTATGCAAAATACACAGAAAAACAGACATTAAGGTATTGGACTCAGAAGATAAGATAACATACAGTAAGGGATCACAGAAGACAACTGGATTTGGCACTGATGCTGCAACTTGTCGGTTTGCAAGTCAAAATACTTCTGTGTGGGATTCAAGATGGATAAACACTTTGATAAATGATACCGACAGTTTGCTTGATGGTTGTATGATTAACTTTAATCACCAAATAACTTTCCTGGAAGCTAGTGTCACCTTTATATTTAAAATAAAGACAATATCTGCACACAGGAGCACATGTTTCAAGATGTCACTTTATGCCTCAAACTTCATTTCTTCCAAAGAATTTAACATGCATTCTTGGATATGAAGCACTTTAGTAGTAGTTTTATCAGCTAGTAGACAAAACTGCAAATCTAAGCACTTTTGTGTGGAAATAAATACCTTTATGTTGGACGTGTGTATCCACCACTATCCAATAATCCACTATCTATTAAACACGAGCACAGTAGATAAAATGTTTGTCTGTGGATGATCTATTCTGGTGTTATTTTCCTTTTATAAAGAGCAATTCCAGATTAGGACAATATCAACAGAATTAAGCATTATCTAACCTATCTAATATCAGGAGCTGTTCCAATTTAATATTCCAATTAAAATCATGATAGCATGCTGCCTGCTGTGGACTGCAGTAAATGACACAGGTTCATCTAAAGTATCACCATCAACCTGGACTGTGACCGCCCTCCAAAGCCAGTGGCTGTGTTTGAATCAACATAAATGACAATCTGTGCTTCTTGGACATAGGTTGCCATTCTTCTTATTAGGATATGTGAGGGTTGATGTCTCGGGGGTTTGCTACTCTTACATGACTGTGAATACTTTCTTGTTATTTGTGATTCTCTTTCTAATTTTCCTTGAGCCATATAACAGTGCTGCATTATACCTTGAAGATGTGTTTTCACAATTATCTGCTATGCTTCAGATTCCCTCTCTTAATTACATTAAGGCAGATAATAATCTGACAGTTTGCCTCCAGGAGGCATCTTCTGGATCACAGAAATTTCTCTTCTGCATCCTTCAAGCACAGATGCCAATTCAGAAAGGGTCTGAGGAGCACTTTGGACAACCTCAATAAAATGAGAATTGCACTTGAAAAGTTACTAACCTACTTAACTGCTTGAGGGCTGATTACCTTTTACAATCCCATCCCAATTCTAAATACATTATTTTGAAGGAAGTGCTATTGATTCACTTACAGGGATATTTTCTAAGAGTTGTGTTTTAGATGCACATGTTAATTAACAACCTCTTAAAACAACCACTTCTTTATCCTCAAAGAAGCTTTAAGATCAGGCAAATATCATAATTTCAAGAACCCCATATTTTAACTGCATTTTAAACACTGATAGATTTGAAGAATACATTAACCCCATTTTCAACTTATATGCAGAACAAGAAGCCAATTTTCATGTCTCCCTTTTCTCTGTTCATTTATTTTAATTATTTGAATACTGTTTTAAAAATCAACATGGCTTACACAAAAGGTTAAATAGCAGTAAACTCACTAAAAAAGAGCAAGAATATAGCAACATTAAAATCAACAACATTAAAATCAGCAGGAAACCTAACATTTACCTCACCTATTTAGAATGAAACTGCACTGTCTCTGACCCACACAAATCTCTGTTGAGTTCGATAGGCCATGGTTGCGTTCGCACATTGTGCTAGTGCCACAATATTATTTGTTTGAGGTTTTTGTGTTTCTTCTCAGTAATATGGGTTGCTTTATTGCCATGGAAAACCTGTATCATTCCGGTGGTCGATTTTGCAATGGAAAGTTTTACAATGAAAAGACTAATATTATTATTTAAGCTTCTTGTTTTTCTTCAAAGACATACTGCCCAGGACACTGGCCAATGTAGTTGTGTAATTTGAGCTTCCAGCAACTTAGAGGTGGTTCCACATAAGCAGATGCCCCATAACAGCACTTCATCTATTTTGCAATTGATCCAGGTGGCTAACCAACTAATCAGTCATCCAGGAGTTCATAGCTGGTCTTCTGAAACTCTCATACTTATTGACACAATGCTAAGCATTTTTTTTAAATCACAGCTTGCTGAACACGTCATAGGGACCCAATTTGTACTTAATATGCAGCCATAATGACTCCTTCATCAAGCTAATTTCCAAATAAAGAAATTATATTACAGCTTAATGCCGTAAGCCCATTCACCTTTCCTCTCTTTCTCAATTCACATGTTTCTCACAATCATAACTGCTGCTCTGTTAACATTTTGGTGCAACTGTTCAACTTTGAAGGCAGACTCCTTGGGCCTATGGTGGCCAGGGATGTGTTCCAGCTTCTGCTACTGCCAGTTCTCTCAGGGATGTGCTTTGGGTACATGCGCGCTTCGGACATGTGTGTGCTTTGTGTGCGCACGGTTGGTGTGTGCTAGACGTGTATGTGCAGTAGTTAAAAAAAGCTTCTGCACATGTGCAGAAGCAAAAATTAAGATGGCAGCACCATAGGCACCGCTAATAGAACTGGTTCGGGGGTGTGGCAGGCAGTTACTACCTACTCAGCCAAACCCGTCCAAGCTAGTAGGAACCCACCTTTGATGGTGGCCATGTAGCCCTGAAATTCTGGGAGCAGTAACTCCAGATGAATTGGAGGGGACCAGGTTGAAGAAGATTGAACTGAGTGCTTACAGCATTAAACAGCATCAGGCAGGCAAAGTGAAGCTGCAAAAGTGGTTTGTAACATCTCCATCATATATACAATTAATAGCAGATTTAGCAATCTGTTTTTGTTCTGACAGGTTGTATCATTTTTATAAAAGATATGCTATGTATCACAGCATGTGTATAAGAGGAGTGTTGCCTTAAAAGAGTTTTCCATATACATTAGAAATGTAAACAATAATAAAAGCATAGAAATTTATATGTAGTTCACAAAAAATGTGGGATATCGAGGGATATGTTATCCTAAGTTTAAATCTTGACGATTGTGAAGTTGAAGCACAGCATTAATTAAAACAGGTGGAAATAATCAACTCACCAATTACATTATTGGTTTCGGGAAATCTTGTTGCAAATATGTGACAAAGCCATGAAAATTCTTAAAAGCTATAATGATTTACTTATATGGTTGATGAAATAGGACATTATTATGACAGAAGCAAGAATTTAATAATCAGAAAAATGTAAAAGCCTTTGGGAAGATTAATGCAATTTACCTACCAACCTTAAAGAGAGTTAAGATTTCATCAAAGAATAAATCAAAGGATTTAGATAAGAAGATACGCTGCATTCACTTACCTTCTCCATGCCAATCTTCAATATTTTCAATCCTGTATCTTTTTCAAGCATATTTTTGTTGTCAGCTGTTAAGAAAATTAGGAATGGCGTTGTTAAAGGGGTTGGGATGAATTTGCATCATATTTTTTCATCACTGTTACACATTTTTAAGCGCTCAGATCTTTGCTTTGCCATCCTCACAGAATCACTGTAAAATGGATTAGTATTCAATTTTATAGGGAATAAAAGAAAAGATGAGAAAAAAATAGAAATCTCCCTCAACTACTTTACAAATCAGTAAGACAGCCTCCTGTTGAAACTAGAATGTTGTCCACTTGGGCAACTTTGTCATACAACATGTTCAGTTCATTTATTGAATGTTCTTCCTGTTTTCAGTTGTTGATCTAAATCAGAGGGGAGTGCTAATTTTTTTTTTTACTACTGGTCTGAGCGCACTCCCACGTATGACGCTTCTGTGCATGCACAGAAGCATCTGGGCGGGTCGGCGGAGTCTCCCACCGCCGCTACTACCAGTTCACCCAATCCGGACCGAACCAGCAGCTACCCACCTCTGACCTAAATGGAGTCAGATGGGGCTATTAGGAAACTAGCTGACTTTAGAACACCTACATTAGCTCATATGGGCTCTTCAAAAGCTGGTTCTAGTGAACATTTTGGTGATCTCTAGGAAATCTCAGGACTAAAAAGTACACAGGGAGGTTGAAAACACAGTTCCAGAAGAAGGAAATGGAAAACACTTTCCTATCACACAAAGAGAGTTGCATGTGTGTGTCCATATAGTCAGAGAAGCTGAGATTAATTCAATCAGGTTTTTACTGTTTTAAGCAACTCAGAACCAAAATTGCATGAAGCTCCCCAAGCATTGAATAAATCCCCCAAAGCCTCTTCAAAAATTGTTATTTCAATATGAGAGAAGGTGAGCATTATTAAATATATAGTTACTAATAGGTTTAATTTAAATATTTAAATTCAGCCAAATTTGTTTTTGTCCAAATATTAATTTATTTAATTTTCCAGATTCCCTTAGGATGCAACTGTCAAATCCAATTGATCATCCTCTGCCTAGATTCTGTAAGTAAACACATAAAACCAGGTACAGAGAATTAGCCATTTGGAAAGATACATATTCACACAAGAGGCATTCTCCATATACAGTACTTCTGTTAGCTCCAAGAAGTCTCAGCAAATTACATGGGTGTCATCAAAGATATTACCTTGAGTGAAACTGGTTAAGAATCATGATGACTGAGAACAAGATAGAAACAGTGTGCTCTATATTCCCTTCCACAATTTGATGTTATGATTGAGAAAAAAATATTCACTCTTTATTTATATGATAATATTGTTCTTGTTTCAGTTTTTGTTCAAAACTTACACACACAGAACCAGCTTGGATCTCTCTTGCTTCAGGTGAAAGATTAAGATGATACCCTGGCAATTTCTTGCAACAAGTTTGAATCAGATGGCTAAATGCATTGTGCTACATGATTTGGTGTGGAATTGTATTCTCTATCACATAGAAGATAGATACAAAATACAGATCCGAATGCAAACTCTTCATACCTCTGCCATCTCAATAGTTCAACACCCAAACCCTGAGACAGCCTCACCATTCCTGATGGAAGGACTAGCCTTGTTCATCCTAACATTTTCTAAATGTTCAGTAATTTTCCAGGATCATGGTTTAGAAACAAAAACTCATGACTAATTTAATTCATTCTTGCTATTTAGGCGTTTATTCAGTGTTACATGGATTTAAACACTCAACTAACATCAGCCTTATTTATCTTTCCAATTCCCCAGAAAGAAGACTTAGTAAATGTTATTCAATCTCTTTTGCATAAAAAGAAGGGCAAACTAAGGCAGGGACTTGAGTCAGATCACCTTAGCCTCCCTGAATCAATGCTGCAACGGTGATTAAAATTCAGTACTTTGTTAACACAATGATTTCATACTATAAGCCTATGGATCGTAATATGTGCTCTTTGTAATATACGCATACCACGTTAATCTGTAACAATAAACAGATCATGCAGCTGAGTTGATTTCAAACACTCAAACAACTAAAAAGAGAATGCTCAAAAAAAACCCACTGATAATGTGAATTCATGGTTGCTCTTTATTGAGAAACACTTATGAAATGAATTCTGCTATACAAATATCAACTTTTTTTCCAAAAGAGCATATATATTTCACGTTTCAGCATCATTCCAAGATAATGCCCAAAGGATATGGAAATGTCAGTGATTTTTTTCTTTATTCTCTCATCCTGATTTTTTGCTTTTATAATTTTTTACAAAGTGTAAATTTCATCATAGTCTTTAAGGAATTACTTAATTTAATTACATATTTAGGTTATGGTGGAAAATTCCTGGTTGTATAATGATCCAAAGTGCTTATTTTTCTTACTCAACGTAATAATTTTTTACATGATGGAGTTAGCTAGCCTTCAAAGAAATCTCCAAATTTGACAGTGAAAAAAAATCTATGACTGGCAGAGATTTGGAGGTCCTCAAAAGCAATTCAATAGATGATTTTAGCTTAGTTTAGAAGATTATGTCACAAAGCATTGCTTGGTCCTATTCTTTGTACTTTTCAGTTATGAATGCCTAATCTACTATGCAAAATGCTGCTATATCCTTATCCAACTTTAAGAGCTGTGGTTCAGTGGTTAGAATGAAGTACTGCAGGCTACTTCTGCTGCCTGCCTGCTGCCTGCAATTTGGCAGTTCAAATCCCATCAAGGTTGGCTCAGCCTTCCGTCCTTCCAAAGTGGGTAAAATGAGGACCCAGATTGTTGGGGGCAATAAGCTGACTCTGTAAACCACTTAGAGAGGACTGGAAAGCACTGTGAAGCGGTATATAAGTCTAAACACTATTGCTATTATTGTTGTGATTGTTATCCTTTCCATTATAGCTTTTTTGCCCCTTCTACATTTCTTCCTTTTCCTCAGCTTCCAAATCGATATGCTCTTGTTTAATCACCTGGATATTTCTTTGTTTTCTAATTGAAACTTGGAATTCAGCAATTTTGCTTAGCATGAAAATAAGCACAAAAGCAGTATGCCTGCCCAACAATGGGAGGGGCTTCATGGAGGGGATAAAGGATAGTCTTGAGTCAAGATGGAAAAGAAATAAAAATCATTGCTAACACTGGATGGAATCAAGCACTATAATATCTCCACAACTATCTTCCTTTGAGCTTCTTTTTCTTATCTTTCTGTTTAAAAGATTGCCATTCAGCTGAGATACAAATGGAAGCCGGGGGGAAATGTAGACCAAAGGGATGCTGTAAAATTGTCACAATTAACCATCTGCATCCATCTAGAGGAGGCCTTAGTCTTGTCTATTGGAGGAGTCCTGTGAGGTCTGTTATGGATTATTATGGCAATCAATTTCAAGGCTGCAGTTCTTTCTGCTGGAAAAAAATGGCTTCTCCTCCACTCCAACACAAAGTGACAGAAATAAATTATGCTGCTCAGGACGTTCACCTTTAGAGACTCAAAGCTCTGAGCTGTGGCAACCTCTCTATCTTGTTGAACACTCAGCAACCATCGAGTTGTGCTGCTTAATAGAGCAAGGCCATTAAGTTGTCCCCATTGTAATTTAGATCACAGAAGAGACTTCTACAGATTTTTCAGGTTAAAATAACTGGTATAAAGAGCAGGCGATATTATTGCACAATAGCTACGTGCTTAATTATATGGAATTGTCAAGTGCAAAGAATTATTCTGATAAATTAAAATACTAATTAAATAGACTATTGCTGAATTCTGGGAACATTATAAGGTTCCACTTCCTCAGGTAATTTGCATATCTTCATCTCTGAATTTAATTTTAATGGACTTCTTTTTAAATGTGTATTCAGGAACTGGTTGGGAGTTTATAGACACATGGGAATATTTTTTAATTGCATTAAAAGAGGAGCACCCATTCCTTTCATCTTTTCTAGAAATGTTTGCAATTCAAATTGTATTTTTAATAATTAAGAAAACGCTACAGGTGTATTGGTGGGGTTTATCCTTTTGTAGTAATATATTTTCTAAACAATCATTTTTCAAACCTATCAGTATTAAAATACAATGAACAAGATCTCAATTGACTGCAGATTGAAATCTGGTATTTAACATCTGTGCTAAAAGTTTAATATAGTTCTGTTTCTCTCAGTACTCATACAAATCACATGATGTACAAAACCACACCCATGATTTGAATACATGGCTTAATAAAAATATTTAAAGCATGTATTATTAAAAAACATGTTCCTTTTTCTACACACTTTATCCTTCTGAAATACAGTTACATTCTATTTCTAACCACCAATTCTTAATCCATGTAAAACCATTTATTTTGGTTATTTTTTAATCTTTTCTTTTTATCAGAATGATAAAAATCCATCACTTTTAAGGACTCTGGAAAAAAATAATGTAGTTTGCATTTTAAATTGAACTAATTTTCTCCCCTGGAACACATAATTATCTTTTGGATTTTGTATTTCTGTGAAACAGTCCCATAATGAAAAAAGCATATAAAATTTATACGTTCAAGAAAAAGCATATAAAAAGTCCATGATATCCATTTTGAATATGTGTGATGGGATTAATGAAAACAAAAGTGCACATGAATATAGAAATACTGGTATAAATTTGGTCTTCACAACATTTGAAAGTATAGAATCCTCATCAGTACCCAATCTTCCCATTTACAGTATAATGATTTGGTTACAACTATTTTAGCCTAAAAAAAGATTATTAAAAGTTTTCAAAAACATAATTGTTTACTAGCAACCACATTAAATTTTTGACTTTCAACCATAGAGGAATTGTTCATGTAAACTTACATGATTAGTTTCACTGCACCACTACCTGTTTACTAGGTTCAGATGCAAAAAATATGATTCATCCAGATTTCTGTCTTATAACTATGGATCTGCCTAAATTATTTGAAGAATCATTAATTACCATTGTTACTTTCATCAATAAGCTCTCGCTGTGCAATTTATGTATCTAATCTCCCGATAGGTAAGACTCAATGTTAGGAGAGATGACAGAAAAGGAACTATTGA